GCGGCAGGGGAACGTCGCAGCGGCGGTCGCGTTGCGCAAGCGTAGCGAAAGCTTAAAGAGCGAGCTGTGTGCTCTCTGAGCAGCTGACTCGCCTCTTGGAAGCCATCTAGTTCGAAAAAATCCAAGGTCTCGAAAAGTATTTCCACTTGTTTCCTTAGCAGTAGAGAAAAGGACTTCCAGAAAACTTCGCCCGTCGCTGCTGCTCATCGCGACGTGCGTCGCTTGCATGCGGTTTCGACGGGCCGATCGATAGCGGGCCCTGTCGCGTTGCTTCGTCGCGTCGCTTGGAGGAATCACTCATATACGGTTCATATATACTTCAAGCATTCACACGTAGCGCGAAGGCAAGCGTCAATGATCGTTGCACATTTAAGGAATTGGAATTTTCAAAGCTTTCTACGAAGTTTGGTGAACAGTTCGGACGATCGAGTTCGGCTGGGCAATGCAAAATTAGGGCTATGGTGCCATAGTTTCAGGGACTAAGGGATGGAAAAGCACCGTGGCGTGGCGAGTCTAACTGCTGCTGATACTCCCGTTCACCTTTCAGATAGTCCCAGTCGAACGCAGATAGTCCCCACGCTTTGCACACGGTACCTAGATCGGACCGGATGGTCTCTTCGGGGTGCAAATGCAAGATCAAGGGACCAAATGCTGTCGTTAGTCCCCGGGGGCTCGACTTTTTCTTAGAGTGTGGGCGATCACGAAGTTTCGTCCGTACTTATACGGAAGTCCGTTCCGCATAGTCACGGACCATCATTCGCTCTGCTGGCTTGCGAACATCAAGGACCCGTCAGGACGCCTTGCGCAATGGAGTCTCCGACTACAAGAGTTCAACATGACCGTAGTCTACAAGTCAGGCCGCAAGCACAGCTACGCCGACTGCCTGTCCAGAGCTCCCGTCGAAACACCTTCCGGCAGCAGCGACGACGATGACGACGAGTGTTTCCTGGGCGCAGTGAACACCGACGACATGGCCCGACGTCAACGAGACGATCCTGAGCTGCGCGCACTAATAGAGCACCTGGAAGGGCGTGGGAGTGCCATACCACCTGTTTTTTCACGAGCCCTGCCGACCTTCGTCATTAGACAAGGAGTTCTCTACAAACAGAACTTCGGCAACAACAGCTCGATGTGGCTGCTGGTAATCCCGACCGACCTTCGAGAGGAGATTTTCCTAGCCTGCCACGACGACCCGACGTCCGGACACCTTGGTTACAGCCGGACAGTGGCCCGTATTCGTGAAAAGTATTACTGGCCCAAGCTCCCCAAAACCGTCCACCTATACACACGATCATGCCATGAATGCCAGCGACGAAAGAAACCTCCAACGAGGCCGGCCGGACTCTTGCAGTCAATTCCTCCGCAAACGGCACCCTTCCAGCAGATCGGAATGGATCTACTTGGCCCTTTTCCGCCGTCAAAGTCGGGAAATCGCTGGATCATCGTCGCCACAGATTATCTCACCCGGTACGCCGAAACGAAAGCCCTTCCTTCCGAAACTGCTGTGGAAGTTGCCAAGTTTTTCATTGAATCCATCGTCCTCCGGCACGGCGCTCCCGAAGTCCTGATTTCCGACCGTGGATCCTCGTTCATGGCCCAGCTGACACAAGAAGTCCTTCGTCTCAGCCACATCAGCCACCGTCGCACCACGGCGTACCTCCCTCAGACCAACGGGCTGACGGAAAGACTCAACAAGACCATCGCCGACATGATTTCCATGTACGTCGACGTGGAGCACAAGACACGGGACGAGGTGTTGCCGTACGTCACCTTTGCCTGCAATACGGCCGTATTGCAAAGTGACGACAATGCTGGACGCAATGTTACCCCATGAACCGGCTGTCGACGGAAGCGACGACGCCCAGGTGGTTGCCCAACGGGCAGAAGAAGTCCGTCAGCTAGCCAGACTCCGGATTCAAGCCCAACAACGTATTGACACTGGCCGCTACAACCTTCGTCGCCGGGACGTCCACTTCCAGCCCGGAGACAGGGTGTGGGTGTGGACACCGATCCGCCGCTGTGGTCTCAGCGAGAAACTCTTGAAGCGCTACTTTGGACCCTACTAAGTGCTTCGTCGACTCGGGGATCTGAACTACGAGGTGATGCCCGACGGAACACGCACTTCATCACGCCGCCCTCCATGACCAGAAGTCCACGTCGTGCGCATGAAGCCGTACTACGCTTGATAGGACACTGGACCTTACGTATTCCAAATGACTCTTTAGTTTACCGTTCTTTTTATTCGCTTTGTTTTGTTTTTGGGTTGCATCGGGACGATGCACTTTTTAAAGGGGGGAGTAATGCCGCGCGCGCAGCTGGCCAAATAGGCAGCGCGCGCGTAGCCTAACGGTTATCGCGCTTGCTTTCCACGCTGAAAGCCAGGGTTCGATTCCTGGCCGCGGAGGCGCATTTTTTGTTGACTGTGTAAAGTAATGTTCTGGTAAATTCGAGAACCATGTTGCTTGTTCGACTCTGCTGCTACGCCGACTTCGACGCCCGCGACGCTCTGTTATTATCTTTTTTACCCTTTTATTTTTGGCACAAGTTCGCCACATTAAACGTTTATTTCTTTCTGTGTAGTTATTGTTCTTTTGATCACCACCCGTGACAATATGTGAAAAATTCAGCCCGCAAAACAATGTTGTTTACACTATACAATTTGTTGCTGACTGCGCAATGTTCGAAATGAAACAACTACTGGTCTCACCATAACAATAAATTAATTTAGAAATGCTTGCAAAGAAATTAAACTTTCATGAGACACAGCAGCAGTGACTTATGGCAACTGTGCATAATACCTAGGTACGCCACGGAAGTGACCGTCGTGCCGATAGATGTACATAGGCCAAGGAATCAAAAATCCTTCTTTGGCTACAACAGTCGTGCGCAACGTTTCCCTCAGAATATAGCAGTTGAGGCGTTGGTCATGGCATTGTGGCACCATTATGTTGCAAAGAAAAAATATGCGATTTACACCGCTTGCAATAGCTACAATTTTTAAAAATCCAATGCTGCCAGAAACTGCCGTGGACATCATAACATCGTCCACCTTGAGCAGAACATTGTCACACGTGCAAGATGTTAACGACAAGCCAACGAAGCCAACTGTACACGCTGGAAGACCTGCATGGACAAAAGCAGGAGTGAGGGAATAAGGCACACCTTTTCTGTCTTCACTCGAGCTTTCAAGAAAGCCGTACTTTGTGTTACCATCGCCATGCCACATGCCATAAGAGAGTTTTACTTGAAAGAACTCACAGTGAGCGACACATTTTTGAAGTTAAAAAGTTTTTTTTTTTTACTTTGGTTGTGCATTCTTTCCCTCGCACCTTATTGTCCAATGGTGGTGGCCAGGTCCGTGCAGTTTGATCTGCTCAACTATATGTACCAGCATATAAAGTTTTGGCGTTAGTGCTTTTCCGCCATAGAACGTTAAATACAATCTCTGGTGTCTAATAGCTGTAGCTTCTAGGTCACCCAAAGCCTCAGTGCTCACAACTGGAGTCATCACAAGCTGTGTGATCTGGTCAAGCAGCACCAAACACTCAAATGTTGGCCCGAGGTCCCGAACAGTGCCAGTACCCTCCATCATGAGTGGCAGATGCAATATTAAAACAGACGTAGCACTTGCAGGTGTCACGAAATTTAGTCTGGCATCAAAGGGACGGGGGTGGTCGCTGGAGCTGACTGCCCTGTAAACTGAAAGGGGCTCAAAGCATCATTTAGTTGCCTCCTTGTAAAATTGTGCAGATTGTGAATTTACTGTTGTAAAAACAAAGTAATTTCATTTGTAACTACACCTTCTAGTAAAGCATTCATCGGGTCAAAAAGGGAGCCCACTGTTAATGAAAAGTCATTAACGAGACTCAGAATGGATGACCTTTTGATGCCGTAAGAGGCTGACAGCTCACTTTTCTCTGTCACTTTTTTGTGTGCAGCAGCTCTTGCACCTGCTCCTCAATTCCGCTGTCCGTTCTGAAGGGACATTCGGCATGCAGATTACTTTTGGAAAATCACAGCTGCGCAAAGTGCAGCGGTGACAACCATAGCGGACGTTATGGGAAAAGAACTCTTCCCTGCAATGCTATGGCATGCAAGGTTGTCTCCCAAGAATGCGAGCAGACACCCACAAATGTTAACTTGTTTCCCTTCGACTTTTAGTTGAATCCCAAGAGGTGATAATTAATTTACTGTTGAAATGAACTCTTCCAGCAATTCTGTCTTTTGCTTCTACACTTTTGAGGTCATTTGAGTTGCCCAAAGCAAGAAGAAACATTGAATTAAGCAATAATGGTCGTTTCGAAGGAGGAAAGTTTGCAAACGTAACATAAAATGAAAGCCGTTTACAAATCCCTGTAACGCCGAATTGGAGCGCAGCTCTTGAGGAGGAGTAGGGAAGGGTACTGAGGGGAGTCACGTCGCCTGCGGGTAGTCACATGACCCTGGGGGGGTCACGTGATCTCGGCGGAGGGGGTCACGTGACCTGGGGGGGTCACGTGAGCCCCCCCCCCCGGTTACGCCGACGGCGACGCCGACGCCGCTCAGGCTGGAAACGGGCCCCTAAGAGCTGCGCTCTTATAAGGGGAGGAGGAGGAGGAGGAGGGGGAGGGGCGCTTTTACGCCGACGGCGACGCCGACGCCGCACAGGCTGGAAACGGGTCATGTGACCCCCTCCCCCCGAGGTCACGTGACCCCCTCGGACCATACTAAATGAGGGGAGGAGGAGAGGAGGAGGGGGAGGAGGGGAGAAGGAGGAGGAGGGGGAGGGGCGCGGTTACGCCGACGCCAACGGCGACGCCGCTCAGGCTGGAAATGGGCCCCTAAGAGCTGCGTTCTAAAAGACTGTAAGTTTCCTACGAGTGCCTCTTTTCATGCCTAAAGGATTGGCAAGCTCAATATCGTCAGAGTAGAGCAGAATGGCCACTTAATTTCTCTGATCTGTTAAGACGGTATGGGTGCTAAACCTCATGCCATCGCAAAAGTCTCTAAGAAACCCATCACTAGAGCGGGAAGCAAGGCTGCTGCAGGTACTTGGCCGTCACAGGGAGCTTGACAAGATTTTGGAGCAAGGCATTGAATGGGACATAGCAGGCCTTAGAGCCATTTTTCAGAAATTTTTCGGAAGGTTTTATGTAGATGCCAGTTTGCATATGCAGTCGTTTTCTTCTCTTATCCCTGCTGAGCTGCGATATGTCAAGGTTTAGCCCTTTCGCATGAAGTATCTCAGATACACCCCAGGCAGCACACCAGCGTTGGACCCCCATTGGCCCAATGTTGGCAAAAAATGGTTCCAATATTGGTCTGACGTTGGCATTTTCGAAAACGCCACCCGATCCAATGGCGGTCCAACATTGGTGCTAATGTTGGACCACTGGTTTGCCAACGTTCTAACCTACGTTGGACCAACGTGGTTTGCGCATTTTTATCCAATATTGGCATAAGAGGTTTCACCGTTGGCTGAACCAACATCGGCATCCAGTGCCTTACACACTGGTTCTTCCAATATTGGCTTAAATATTGGCTATTCCTATATTGGCATCCAGTCTAATACACTGGCTATTTTTTGCATCCATTGGCTATGCCATCATTGAATGCCATTTTTCACCCAGTGCTGCAACTGTTTTCTTTCTGATAATACCAATCTAATAAATGCAGCAAATTTACTGTATGTGGACACTTTAGAAATCATTAAAGCATGCAAATGAATTATTCAAAACGTTTCAGAGTTCGTAATTTATTTAAATAAAATAAATAGATTGAAAAATTGCGCAACCAGGGCGACCTAGGCAGGGTCAGCAGCAGGCTCTGCAGGAGGCTGGGCAGAGGGCTGGGCGGAGAGCTGGGCGGAGAGCTGGGCGGAGGGTTCGGCAATCATTGCCGCAAATCTCCTTTTCCTTCCACCGCCCCGGTCCACAGACCCGGGCAGCCACTTGCCGATGACCGCCAGAGCCGTCGTCCTATCCACGGCCTGCTTCTCGCAGATGGCATCTGCAAGCAGACACCTAACTTTCAAGACAAAATTGACAACTACTTCTAATTCGTCAGTTACAGCTTAAGAAATCAGCGACTCAACCCCAACGCAATTCTTAATATCAACTCTTTCAGTATTACAGATGTACCCAGCAAACTAGTGACTTCTCGCAGGGATTTTTGTTCTCTCTGCTCGAGTGTATGTCCTGATGGTATACCCTTTTCTTCTGGATAGCTTTTTGCAGTGCTGCAAGATTGGAGCAGTAGCATTGCCACTGAATTATTCAAAGTCCACGCTAGGCTCTTCATTGTCTACTAGACCCCGATTCAAGTTGTCTAAAAATTGTGGCGGCATCAGTGGGACATTGCGAAAATACTGTGGTTATCACCACCGGAGTGGTACCTGCGTGGTAGGCTCAAATAAATTTCGAGGCCACCCGACTGGATTTTGCTTGCTTCTCTGCTGTCTGTAGTTATTTACTTAAATCATGTTTTCAAAGTAATATTCTTCCACATGCAGAACGAGTTGTCATGAAATGGGTCCTGTTTATGCTTCAAAACAACTCACTGACATTGAGATATATGGTCATTTGTGGTGCCATTACATTAATATTGCTGAAGCATGACGTGCCAGCGACCATTTTAATAAAAAAGATAGTCTTCGAACTAAGCCCTTATCCTGGAAAAAAAAAGGGTCCGTGCCATAGCGAACTATTTTTTTTTGACACAAGATTGAGACACTCAAAACAGGTGCATAATGCTTCGAGTCCACTATGTCATCGAATACTTAAGCTGTAATGACTATAGCAAAGCACACTGCCTGCCACTAGCAGTAAATGATGAATTAAGTTTGCAGATCAAAATTTAGAAATATATTACTAATTGCAACTCTGCACAGCTGCATGCTGTTAAATGGCCTCTTCCCTTTCCGCCCGTACAGTGAAAATAGCACTTGGACAGAGTGGCCCATTAAACCTTTCATGATGTTTGCTGTCGTTTCCAGCAGTGTTCTCCCTCCAATTCTGAGAAGCTGCTCCTTCTGCAAAACATGAAAAATGACAAAAGAAGCTAAAATTAGTACAGGAATCATACACCTTTGCATGTCTTCAAATCCATATCCCAGCACGGAATTTCCACATGCCAGCACGCACATGTTTGTGGCTTAGGAAAGTAAACGAAGTATGTGTCTTAAAACACAAGTTCCAAATAGACGATTTGCAATTTTCCCAAGCGCCCAGGTCCGCGCGCGAGGAATTATGGGGAGAGGTTGTCCCTCGCCTGGCCACTGTGCCTTGAGATGGCGTTGCCTTGTCTCCTCTTAATCCTGTGTTTTTCGATTCCATTACCCATTTTTTATCTATTCCAGTGTATTTTTTATTGCTTGTGTTTCTATTCTCTTCTCCACGCAATATTTCTGTTATATATACAGTATTTGTGTCTTTGTTCCCTTTTTCGACGGGAGTGCCAACGGACAACACGCTGCTCGCGTGTCGTTACCCGGGTGAGTACTACTGTTGCTACAGATTCCTATCGCGCTGTTAACTGTTCATTTTGGTTCATTTAACCCGCGTACATGTCATAGGGGTAGGCAGAACTCTGAATCAACAATCGCGACGTTAGAGTCGAAAGTGTCGTGTAATACGCAGACGGGTGGGTGAACTGCAAAAGATGAATGGTCGTTTTTATGAGTTTTCCTATTAAAATATTTCAGTTGATAGTCAGCGCTTGTCCAGAGTGTTTCTTCATCGCCCGCGTCTGTTGTTCGCGCGGTGTCCCAAGATGTTGATTCAGAGCTCTGCCTACCCCTACGACATCTGCGCGGGTGTTCACAAACAGCTCCTCTCGACCGCACGCACGCGGGTCAAATGAACAGCTAACAGCGCGATAGGAATCGGTAGCAACGGTAAAACTCACCCTGGAACGACGTGCGAAGCGGCGTGTTGTTCGTCGGCACTCCCGTCGAAAAAGGCAAAATAAAGACACGAATACTATATATATACAAGTATCATGCGCAGAAGAGAATAGAAACACTTAAAAGCAATAAAAAATACACTGGAATAGATAAAAATAGGTAATGGAATCGAAAAACAGAGGATTAAGAGGAGACAAGCGACAAGGTACTGCGATCTCAAGGCAGAGCAGCCTCTCCCACAATTCCACGCGCGCGGGCCACGGCCCTTGGGAAAATTGCAATGTTAGTAGTGGGCACTTGTTAGGAAATGGGGGCTTACTCGGTATTTTACAGTAGATACAACTTTGGCTGTAGCCACTGCAGCGCTAATGAAAACCGTGCAGAATCTCCAATCCGGAACATGTTAGTTGTGCAAAGCACATCATCGAAAACCAGGCTGAATGTCGAAATCCGGAACACACTCAGTCGCTCTCGGCGATTACAAGCACAGGATCGAAGCTGTCGAAGCGTGTGCTTCCATAGTTCCCGTGACATCCTGTCTTCACAATCAACGAGATTTGCGCATGCTTTCCTTCTTGTCAGCACATCCTCCACTTGCATTTTTGAGGGGCCTGGCAATTCTGGGCTGCTGTCGGGCTTTCTTTTTATATGACGGCTTTGTTGCTGCACGCGGCATGCACCACTGTGGCATCCTGTTGCTTCCTTCGTATATTGTGGATGTGTTAAATGCGTACAGGAGAAAAACAACTTTTTTGAAGCTCAAGTTGGGGGTGCATTAATTATGCGAGTGCATTGAGTATGCAAGTAAATATGGTAGAGTACTGTCCACCAATCATTTGTCATTTAAAAAAAAATGCTTTCTTCCCCCATTCACTGCGCCTCAGTAGCTGCCATCTTGGTTTTAACCGCTTGGACAGATAAAGCGCCCATACCAAGTTTAAAAGGCAACTCCGCTTCATTTTTGATATTTAGAAAACTATGCAGCCCTCTTCGGTATCATATAGGAAGACGCCATGTCAAATATTACGATCTAATTTCGTCTCTATATTTAATAAACTGGCCAGCGAACTTTCAAATGAGCCAAGTCGAAAAAATCTGCCAACTCTAGCGTGCGACGTGAGGCGCAATCGTCAGCGCAGTCAATGCGACGGAGTTGGAGCGGCCAACGATGAGCCACTACGTCAGAGGCATGTCTACGTCATTCTCACGTTTTGTTTGTTTTTACTTCTCGGAGCGGAATTGAACGATGACGTCATGAGTTTCTCCTCCCGGTGTTGGCTCGACGGCGTCCACGTGATCATCGTAACGCGGATGCGCTAGTTTGCGCTGCCCGGCGCGCTTATCGGTCTGTTTCTCCGCTCCCCTTCTCCTTTTTCGTCTTCTCCCCTTCTCCCTCTCCCCCGGGCCGTCACCGTCCACGCCATTTGAAGCGACCTGTCCACGTCGCGGGTCCTGTTCCTCGCCCCCACGAACGGCACAAGACCACGTGGTTCGACGTGACGTGGCCATGACTCTGACGACCCGCGGCCAATGTTGCCTGACACAACCGAAGTTTCGGTTTCAGCTGATGTTTAAATTAAGATTACACAAATATTATTTCACATTTCCCGAATCCGAAGACGTAGAGCTGTTTAGTAGTGCTTTGTGAAATGGAATCACATGTAAGCCTAAATTTTTCGGAATTGAGCGGTGTTGCCCTTTAATCATTTCTTCAGCAAAAAAGAGGCGGGCGCTTCCTCAGTATTGTACAGTAGGTGTACAATTTAAAAATCAAGGATAGTGTGTAACAGCGCATAGCAATACAAGATGGGGATAGAGAGAATCAAGAAGTTGTTATTACCAATACTGTGGCTACAGCCTCGTCGTGGATGGCTGCCTCCGCTGCTTCCAGCTCCTCCAGGGTGCTGGCTGGCAGCCTCGGAAGTTCCCGTGAAAGAATCGCAGCCGTCGGGATCGGTACAGCTTGCCCCGTTGGCAGCTCTAGAGCTGCTATTTGGTCCGACAGCTGCTGGACATCCAGCCTCAGCTGCATAGTCTCCTGCTGCATCTCACGGTTCTGGTGGCGGAGTTCCACTAGCAGGTGGATGATCCGCAGCTGGGCACCTGAAACACAAGCAAATATTTCCTTGGGAGATGCCAGCGCTCAGTGCCCTTTGCCCACGAAAATATAAAAAGTAAAGCTCTGCCAAGCATGGTGCGACAATGCAGCAGCTAATACGAAAAAAATGGGCTGCTGTAATTTTCGTATAAAGCACATCACAAGGGAGCTTTGGGGCAGCGCAGTGGACTATGGTCAAGTGGTCCAAACAGCAGAAATCAAGCATTGATTTAAGGGGGGACACGGCTCCTTAAAACGAAAAAAAAGGAAAAAAAATCACATTTTTGAAATTATGTTTTTTAACATCTACAGGTATGTTCGCATCTTTTCTCTAAGTATTATCGCAAAATATGCCCCCGCAGGGGGCACCTGTGAAAGCAGGTGTTTGGAGAGTGGCGTCTCCACGGACCCCGAGCTCCGCAGGGGGCGCCTGCACCTTAGGTGCTAGGTGCTTGGTGAGTAGCGTCACCACGGACCCCAGCCACGTGGGCCACCATACCCGCACGCAGGGGGCACCTACTTTTGTAGGTGCTTGGTGAGTGGCGTCACTACGAACCTCGAGCCATGTGGGTTCGCCCACCCACGTCTGGCTGTGCGTGGCGTACCCGTGTCCGGGGAAAAGGGGACCCTGGTGGTTGAGCTGAGCCCGGGGTATGTTTGGACCCTTCGGGGCCCCCCGGGTGAGGCAATACACCGCTTCGACCCCTGCTTCTCGTAGACGGGTGTCCTGGCTTGGCCCGACCAGGATGATTCAGTCAGTCGCCTCTTCTGCCCTCTTCTTCCTTCTTTCACTTTTCCTTCCACCTCTTTCTCTTTTCTTCTACACTCTCTTCCTTCCTTTTTCACCTTCTTAGGCGGCAAGGGCTAACCTTGAGTGGAAACAGGTCCTGTCCCTGCATCCACACTCGGTTATAGTGCCCGGGCAGCACTGGTAGAGTAATTGTGTCAGCCAAGCCTTTCTTGTTATGGCACATTACCTACCCCCTCGTTGGGCTCCGTGGTGGGCGGTGCACCCGGGCACTGAAACTCCTTCCCATCTATATGGGTTCTCAAACTAAAAAACCTCCTGATCGGGCCCTGAAAAGGACCCGCACCGAAGTACCGTTTCAATTTGAAATGTCTCTTGTTTCCGAAAAGTTTCCGAGATTTCTAGTTTTACATTCTGAAAGTGAAAAGCCTCTGAGCAAACTGTCCCCCTTCCTTGTAGCCAAGGTACTAGAAGGCGTTGTTGGTCAGAACTTTCATGCGAAGAAAATGGCATCCGGAGACCTCCTTGTAGAGATCAATACAAAACAGCAGAGTGATGCCCTCCTGGCTCTCAACTCGGTTTCGGACTACAAAGTCACTGTTTCTCCGCACCGCAAACTGAACACTGTCCAAGGAGTTATTTCCGAGGACGACCTGCTAGACACATCAGACGCAGAGTTAGTGGAGGGGCTCTCTAGCCAAGGAGTTGTTGCTGCGCGACGAATCAATATTCGTCGTGATGGCAGCGAACGGAAAACAAAGCACATCATCCTAACCTTTGACAGCACCACTCTCCCTGCGACTGTAAAGGCAGGCTACCTACAGTGCAGAGTCCGACCCTACGTGCCAAACCCCCAACGGTGCTTCAAGTGCCAGCGGTTCGGCCATGGGTCACGTAGCTGTCGGGGGGCCGACACATGTGCTAAGTGCTCAAGCAAAGAACATGTTGCCGACAACTGTGACAATGAGCCAAAATGTGCGAACTGCGAAGGTAACCACCCTTCATACTCGCGTTCCTGCCCTCTTTGGAAACAAGAAAAAGAAATACTGACGCTGAAAGCCAAAGAAAACATATCATACGTAGAAGCAAAGAAACGATTTTCTTTCTTATCAAAGGGTGGATATGCCGAGGTCGTGCGCAGGGGACCGGCACGACCAGTGACGGCATCGACGGGAACCCAGACCTCTCCGGATGATCTGCGGCTCTCGTTGAAGTCCCCTCCTAAACCCACAGGGGCGGTGCCAGTGGCACCGGGTCCCAAGCCCAGGGTGGATGCTGGCTCACTAGCATCCACTTCAGAGCAGGGGAAGGCCCCCCCTGGTCGGGGCCGGCCACCCCGTACCTCTGGCCCGAATAGACCTGGTGAGCCGTCACGGCAGTCGACCCCCCAGGGGCGGCCGTCGGCGACGCATGAGGAGCCCATGGACGAGAGTGGGCCCAGATCCGACGAGGAGGTTCCCTCCTCAGGATCGGTGTTTTCTTTCTCTGCCCCCAGTGACCCCACTGGGAGGCAGGCAGATACGTCGAAAAAGAAAAACGCTCCACGTGTAAAAATTGATTTTAAACCATAGTGATGTCATCTTATGTTTCGTCCTGTTTTTTTAGTCTATTTTTTATTTTTACCTTTTTATTGCTATGAGTAAACATATGGGCGTCATGCAATGGAACTGTCGCGGCCTTCTTCGTAATATTGATGACGTGAACACGTTTCTTGATGAGCTCCGTCCCGTGGCGCTCTGTTTACAGGAAACTCATCTCAATGACAATCATACACAGATCTTACGTCGTCACCAAGTTTTTAGGAAGGATCGCCTTTCCCCCACTCCTTCCGGTGGTGTTGCAGTGGTAGTGCAAAATGGAGTGGTGTGTGCTCAAGTACCTCTTCAAACACCACTTGAGGCAGTGGCAGTTCGTGTCCTCTTTGATCGCCTCATCACCATTGTATCGCTCTACCTTCCACCTAACAGTCCATTGCATCTCCATGAACTCCAAGGCCTCGTAGATCAGCTGCCCAAACCTTTTTTAATCTTAGGTGATTTTAGTTCCCACCATCCTTTGTTGGGAAGCTCTCGTCAAGATTCCCGTGGTGGAGTTATTGAACGGCTCCTATCGCTATCTGGACTGTGTCTTTTGAATAAGAGAGAACCAACCTTTTTTAGCTCTGTTCATAACACATTCACATCAATAGATCTTTCCATATCATCACCCTCTTTACTTCCATGTTTTTCGTGGAAGGTTTTAAATAATCCTTTTGGAAGCGATCACTTCCCCATAATTTTAGAAACAGTTATACCTCTTCCTTCGCTTTCGACCCGCCTTCCAAGGTGGAAGTTTGAGAAGGCCGACTGGGCTCTGTTTGGTTCAGAAGCTGTGTTTGATTCCTCTTTATTTACTAGTATGTCTGCAGAGGAGGCGACAACTTATGTCACTGAATGTTTAATTAATGCTGCTGCATTGTCTATCCCACAAACCTCTGGTAAGCTCCCCAGGAGATGCAAACCCTGGTGGAACGATGAGTGTACAGCCACTCGAAAGAAACAAAATAGGGCTTGGGGAATCTTCCGCCGATATCCGACGCCTCTTAACTTGATAGAATTTAAAAAAAGCTGAGCCAAGGCTCGATGGACGAGAAAACAAGCCAAAAAGACATCGTGGGTTAAATATATTTCAGCCCTAAATAGCTTTGTACCGTTAAAAGATGTGTGGGACCGCCTGCGGAAGGTCCAAGGAGATTACCAATCCTTTCGCACTCCTCTCTTTTCCTCCTCCTCTGTATCACTCAAAGATCAAGCAAACATCCTTTGTGAACATTTTCAGCTTATCAGTAGTTGCTCAAATTTCAGCGCAAAGTTTAAGAAATTCCAGTCTATTGCTGAAAAGCAGTCAATTTCCATGTTAGGGTCTGCCACTGTTTCATACAACAAACCATTCACTATGGGTGAACTCAAAGTAGCACTTGCTACAAAAAAGCAGGCTGCACCAGGCCCAGATAAAATTCATTATGAAATGCTTAGACACCTGTCCCCTGAATCACTTTGCCATTTGCTGACGTTTTTTAATCACCTATGGAAACAAGCTGCATTCCCTCAGTGCTGGAAATGTGCTCATGTTATACCTCTCTTGAAACATGGAAAAGATCCCTCTGTCCCCACAAGCTACCGCCCCATCGCACTCACTAGTTGCCTGGGGAAGACATATGAAAGGCTCATTAATCGGCGTCTTCTTTATTTTTTTTGGAGGCTGAGAACTTTTTTGATGTTAACCAGTGTGGATTTCGAGAGGGACGATCAACCACAGATCACTTGGTTCGTTTAGAAACCCTTATTCGTGAGGCATTTGTGCACCGACAACATTGTGTTTCGGTATTTTTTGATATGCATAAAGCATATGATACCGCATGGAGGTATGGAATCCTTCGAGATCTGTACAACTGCGGTGTGCGCGGTCGATTGCTTCAGTGCATACAAAACTTCCTAACCAAGCGAACCTTTCAGGTTCGCTTGGGTGGCACACTGTCAGGTGTTTTTAGCCAAGAAAATGGGGTCCCTCAAGGAGGAGTTTTAAGCGTTACCCTTTTTGCTGTTAAGATCAACAGTCTTGGAAGGGTGATACCGCCATCGGTATCTTATTCTCTTTATGTAGACGACGCGCAGATCTCCTTCTCTTCATGTAACCTCTCCAGTTGTGAACGGCAACTACAACTCACTATCAACAGGATGAGCAAATGGGCGGATGAAAACGGTTTCAAGTTTTCTCCCGAAAAAACTGTTTGTGTTCCCTTTTCATTGCGCCGGGGTTTGTCTTTGGACCCCACTTTGCATCTCAATAACATAGACATATCTGTTCAACAGGAACACAAATTTCTTGGTGTAATCTTTGACAAGAAGCTTTCTTTTGTGCCACATTTGAAGAAGTTGAAACGTAAATGCTTAAGTTCTTTAAATGTTCTCAAGGTGTTGTCCCACATTTCATGGGGATCGGACAGGCGATGCCTCTTACGATTATACAACTCCCTGGTTCGGTCTCGGCTTGACTACGGTGCAGTCGTGTATGATTCGGCACGATCTTCTACTTTGAAGATGCTGGATCCCGTTCACCACTTGGGGCTCAGACTTGCCTCCGGTGCATTTCGTACATCACCTGTGTTAAGCCTATATGCTGATACACATCAGATGTCGCTTGAGAAACGCAGACAGTACCTGAGTCTCTGTTATGCTTATCGGGTCTATTCTAATCCACAACACCCAGTTTACAGTGCCATTCATAGCTGTCGTTTCTCTCGACTTTTTGAAAACAAGCCGAGCATTGTACGGCCACTCAACTTTCGCATTCAGAATTTCAGTGCTTCCCTTCATGTCCCACTTCATGTTGCCGTGCTAAATTACAGGGACAGAGTTGCTCCTTGGGACGAAGTTCCAATCGTTTGCGACTGGACACTTACAAAATACAGTAAGCGGGCTACCTCCCCACGAGTTCTTCAACAGGAGTTCCTTTTATTACAGGAGACTTATAGAGGTTACACTGAATTCTATACCGATGGGTCGAAATCCTCGTCTTTTGTTGGCTGCGCAGTATATTCTGGTTCCTTC